CCTCATCGTAAGCCCGCGCAGTCCGAAACTCCCCCAGAGCCCTAAGAGCCGCCCGCTGAGCCCCATGAGCCCCCTCAGCCCGCACGCACCCATGAGCCCGCCCCTGCCCGATACGCCGCACCCGGGACGCAGGAAACGGAGACCCACCCTCCCCGCGGCCGCTGCGTTCGACGAGGCCCCGCCCCTGCCCCCCATGCCGGTCATGGCGCACGGGGGGCCGGTGCCGCCGCGTCGCAAGTAGAGCGAGAGCGCCAGCGCGCTGCCTTGACCTTCTCCACTTTGTCCCACCACACAGCCCTCGGCCCTCGAGCTACCCCCATCACCCTGCACACTCCCACCACGCCACCCTCTCCATCCCTCTCCATCCCTCTCCATCCCTCTCCATCCCTCTCCATCCCTCTCCATCCCACCTCCATCGACCACCTCAGCGCCAAAGCCGCGTCTAATCCCACCCGCCCCTCAATCTCACGCAACTCGCTAAGCCAAACAGAACAGGACAGAAAGTAGCAATCCTTGTTGCAAAGTAGCCAAATCCCCCAATCCCCCTTCCCAAATCTAGCCCAGGCCAGCTCGCAAGGGAGCTGCAGCCGGGGCACGGAAGCCAGTACGTCAAAGGAACGCCGTACACACACTCGTTAATTATGCATCTTCCCCAACTAATAGTAATGGAAAAACGGAATGGTCTATGCTGGGCCTGTGCCTCTCTCTGTCGTACTGACTCTGCTGGCGCGTGGGCCGAGGGCATGTCGGATGGGCCAGGGATGGGTGTCTGGGTGGGTTGGTCGTGTGAGGGTGGCGTGTCGCGTGTCGTTTAGCCCACGCGCTCTCGCAGAGCGGACATTGTCGAGACAGATGAGGGCGGTGGGTATGTTGGATGGTGAGAGTGCGGCGGCTCGCTCACGCCGTCGGCGCTCGCTGACACGTCGCGGCTATCGCCGTAACCACCAGACGATGATGAAGATCCAGAACACGAGCACCATGAACGCCATGAACCAGCACCAGGTGCTCCCCTGCCGGCCGGCCATCTTCATCATGCGCTTGTACGTGCCCTTCAGGTATGCGCCGGTGCTGCCGAATGTGTCCGTCATGCCCTGCAGCTCGAGGTTGCCTGCGCGGACCTCGTCCCCGATCCCAATGGACAGCTGGGGGTCAGCTTGTGCACATCTCTTCTCAGCTGCCGCCTGCTTCCTCCGCCCGCTCTCTCTTCGTTCTCCCGAGCGACCCTCGCTGTCGCTCGGGGCCCACTTACATTCTTCAACACGTCGACCTTGCCCAGCAGCCCCTTGAGGAGGTCGTCATTGTGGCTCTCGAGCTCGTACGCCTGCCCCGCCCTCGGTCCCGCGCCCGACATGCCAGAGGACATACCCCCGCCAAAGGGGGACTCGGAGTACTGGCTCGCCTGGGAACCGGGCCGCGTCCCCGGCGTGCCTCCGCCGGGGGTACTGAACCCGCTCCCCGGTCCACCACCATATGGCGAGGGGTTGGGCCTGAACCCGGCTCCCGGCCCGCCCGACGGAGGGTAGAGCACGGGCGAGTCGCGCCGCTCCGTGTTGTTTCGGTTCACGCGCGTGAGCCTGTGGTCAGCTCGTCCTCTACTAATGGAGCTCGAGATGGGATGCAGAGGAAGCCGCAATCAAAGGCGGAAGCACTGGAAAGCTGAGAAGAGAGACCCGGCGCAAAAAGTCGTCAGACTCACCCGCTCATATCGACAAGACACCGGCAATGAAGTGGACGATGGAGATCGAGGTCGAGGAAGACGAGACGAGAGGGGATACACGTGGAACGGATCAGGGGCTCCACGCTCCTCCCACACACTCCATCTTACGTAATGAAAGAAGTGGCGACGACTCACGGCCGCAGCGGCGCGCACACTCCCAACGAGTTGTATAACCTCTTCCCGTTCGTATAACGGCTAGTATGCTCGCTTGTCATTGAGATCGCGGGAGATCGGAGTTCGATTCTCCGACGGGAAGCTTTTTGGAGCCTCAGGTATGCATGGAAGACGCAGGGAAGTGGTTGGAAAGGGTTCCGAGGGGCCGAGGGGGGGTGCCTGGGTGGTGGCGTTGGGAGGGCCGAAGTGCGGAGGTAGGTGTGGAGGTGCGGGCCTCGGCGGCCAGAGGTGTAGTCGTTTCGGGCCGTGACTGAGCTGACTGCGTTATCTTACGCCGTGTAGGTGGTCTGTGTTTGCTCCGTCGCTCCTTTGCACTGCACTCGCGCCGTGTGTGACTGCGCCGTGTGTCACCGAGTGGGCGGACGACATGGTCCGTCCAAGGCGCACCGAATGCTGACAGCACTTCACACATTGCCCGCACCATGTCTGCACCACCTGCACTCTGTGTGCTTCCTCGGCCGCGCATCATTGCACTCGACGCACCGAGTCCCTCTCCGCCACATGTCCCCGGTAAGCTAACCGATGCCTTGTCGGATGTGCAGATACACATCTGAGCGCGTGTGCTCCACACACGTCTTATCTCTACACATGCATGCACATTGGGCATTGCTGTGCCCTTCTGCGTCCTTCTACACCCCCATGGCGGACACACACCGTCTGCTCGCCGGTGGACCCGGTATAAAGTCGACACCCGATAGGGTCTTTCCCCATCCCATTATGAACTTCACAACAACGCCCGCAAAGAACATGCTCTCGATCAGCGCCACCCTCAGCATAGCGATCAACGACGAGCTGGAACGTCAGCGCAGCAAGATTACCACCGAGTACGCCATCCGCGCTGTCGATGAGATCAAGCGCTTCAACATGGAGTGCACCGCGCTCCGCGACAACTTTAAGCACTATGAGGCCCACACCGGCTTCGCCTGCGCCATTGAGAAGCGCAAGTACATCGACAAGCTCCGTGAGCTCCGCGAGCAGAACGTCTTGGCCCTCGAGAAGCTCAAGCGCGCGTACAAGGCTGAGCTGTGTTACTGCGGCCTCGCTGTTCCCCCTGACCTTGACCTCGAGGCGGCCGAGGCGACACACAATATCCTCCACCGCGGCTAGCTTCAAGCAAGAATCATTCCACATATAACCGCTGGACGGTCTCACAATTGAACAAGCCCTCCTGTCTTCACTGTTGTACTCTCTGGTAGCCTTAGTTATCGGCTCTCATGCTGCGCATGTATCTATAGCCTCATCGTCGCTATACCATGATTCAACCAGGCCAACAGGCCGTTCGACACTTAAACCCCGCACGTAACGACACCGATCCCAGCCGGGATCCCCTCTCCACTGTTTCCTATTCGCTCGCCCCACCGCAGCTCTTCCTCACCCGGTCCACGCACTCTAAGAAGACCAAAAAGAGCCTCGTATGGGGCTCGAACCCATGACTGTGTGATCAATCGGCCCTGAGCGTAAGAGTCACACTATCTACCGACTGATATAACGAGGCGAACACGAAGATCGCTTGTTGCGGACGGCGCCCGCCGGGCCGTGGCTGCACCAGTCTCCCCAAGGCTGAAACGGTGCAATTCCCCGCTGGGGGACTCGTAATGTCTTGTTCAAGCGCTGATGAGGGTGAAGAGCGGCTTAGAGTTGCCCTTAGACCCCGTCAGAGACAATAAGGACAGGAGTTACTGGCGAGAAATTTCGACTCACCTGGTGACAGTACCATGAAACTCGAAATGAAACGCAATGTGGCACCTTTAATGCATGTGCCCGTTCGTATTTGAACAGCCAGATCATGCGGCCGACGCATGCATATGAAGAGCCCGCACTCATGCGAGCTTTCACATGCATGTCCCCCTGTGCATCAGCGCTTGTTTAGTGCTCCCAGCAGTGTTACACAGCAAGGACGGCCACTGTGTGTGTCTCCAAGTGAGGCCACGTGCCACCCGTCCGGTCTTGGTTTCACCACACTACCCAACTGTTCTTCCCCATCTTCCTGTTCCCATTGCACTGAGCTAACATCCCGCTCGGCTCCATCCCGCAACCCTTCTCAGACCGCTTCCTGTCGAGACTCGCCCTCGCCTAACGCAATGGCCTCGAACGACGACGATACCGCCGCCCTTTATGCTCCTACACCCGACCCTGTCTTGAATAGCAAACTCTTTAGTCTGGAGATGAGCATCATCAGCGCACAGCAACACCTGAGGAACCACTACATGAACCGAATCAGCCAGCTTGATCCGTCCCGGCCTGAGTTCCATGGCATGGTGCAGCTTGCCCTCTTTCTGCTGGGACACAGTATGTCACACCTTCAACGTCTCTACGAGTTCACTGTCCGATCGTATTATGAAGAGGCTGGGATTCCGTATCTCCATTCCTAAGTACAGCCCTGAAAGCCAAGCATCCACACTCTGAAGTACTGGCGACGTCCTGATCCATTGTAGCCTCAATAGCAATACGTTGCCTCCTATGCAGAGTCTGCAGATGTAGCCTTCACCACCACGGGGCAAAGTGGCAAAAAATGACGTGCTTGTAGCGGTTATGAGGGGCGGAAGTGCGAGTGTGTCTGCACCCCCGACTGCACTCGGCGGCGTGTGACGCTGGCGTTGCGTAGTCTTCACAGATGGAATGGGTTGTCTGCATTGCTCTTTCCTGCACACTCCATCACCCACTACCCACGATGGCCCACTTCTGTCCCATCCCCAGCTCGCACAGCTTCCACGGCGAGCTGAAGGAAGAAGCTACCGCAGTCATCAGCGCTGTCAACGACGCAACTCAGAAGTACGTCGGCGAGCGCGCTTCGCTCATCACTGAAAGCGTCGAATCGGCCAAGAACGGTACTCTTTCTCGCGCTGCGTGTTCCATGAAGGTCTGGCAGTGCAAGGGGGCGTACTCTGAGGACGTCACAAAGATGGTTCGGGAGCTTCACGATCAAATCGAACGCGCTTGCAGCCTGCAGTTGCAGCCGCCCAAGAACAAACATTTCTTGGGGTAGTCGTGAGTTTGAACGCCTGATCTGTGCTGAAGTGAAGGCCTCTTCTCTAGTGCAAGCTCTCCCACTCGATTCGCGGCTACTAAGTACCGGGCTCTATGCGCTTGATGTCTTCACTATGCAAGTGCTTGAGTCGCCGACACGTTTGAGTAGAACATTTGTTCACGCGCTTTCTAGCAATTCTGATCTAGTTATCTCACTATAGGCACCTTTGCCTCCATCTCGATCCTAATTTTAAGTGCTCGTCGCTTGACGAGCGCACTGCAAAGCTTGACACGAGGAAACAGACTGTCTTTGGTTGCCTGCGCCGGCGGTTTGGCTACCACGTGCCGGACAAAGCGAGGGACAGGTGTGCGAGCATGTGGAGGCTCTGCGAGACGCTGTCTTCCGGGCTGTACACTCCTGGACGGGTCTACAGATGATCTCACACGCACCACCCTCTTCCACGTCCACCATCATCGAGCCCAACAGCAATGAACATCTCTTCCCCCGACTCTGAGCCCGACACTCTCGAAAGCCAGCTGCAGGCGCAGGCCGCTGCCTTCCAGCAAGCCTTCCAGCAGCTGGTCACTCGCTACGCTGAAGACTGCTCTGTGATCGTCCAGTACTACTCCGAGCTACCCTCCGAGCCACCCTCCGAAAACAGCCTCCGCCTCAATGCAGCTCTGCGCCAGATCCATCAACGCCAGGAAGCATTCGACAAAGACCTTCAGAGTTTGCACAAAGGATTCAAACACAACGTCGACCTGATCTGTGGCGACCACTTTCAACGTATTGTTAGAGACAGTCAGCAGCAGTAGTCGCCGTGAGGACCGTATTTAAGGTTTTGCTGACTTCAGAACTCGCTCAAGTGGCCAGAACTTCGCCCACGAATAGGTCATTGCACCCTTGAAGACACGGTAGTTGTCGCGAGTATTATGTCAGTAATGAGAGGGGGTGGCCGTGGGAGGGATGTATGCTGCGTCTGGCTAGATGTCTAAGGCATACTATGCTAGGAGCGAGACAGCAGTTGTCTCCCGAGCAAGAAAGCACACCGAGAACTGTCCGGGTCCCCTACCCACATGAGATTTGTGCGTGTCCTGTCTCGCATGGGTTGCATCTCATCAGAGCGCGAAGGGCGCGAGCTCAGTGCTGTTGCAGAGCGCGGCCTTGAAAGGCCATGGAGTGACGTGTCGTGTCTTGACACCTTTCATCCCTCTATCTGAAACCCTTCAACTCATCATCAGTTAGCATTCTCTTCGGCATACTGGTACAATGGTGCTCGAAGTTTCAGGCAATCCCGCGACCGCAAGACCCACTCTCGAAAGCGAGTGGGAAGACTCCTATTCCGCTATTGCGGCTGCATTGCAAAATGGTGCCGAGCTTCACCCAGGAGATATCCAGCGGCGCGAACTGGTGATCACTCTGCTTCGGGCAGCTAAAGCCTATAATTTGGCCAACGCCTGGGCAGGGCTTCACGTTGTCGAGCCCAAGTGGACCGACGATGAGCTAAAACGTATGGCTGTCTTCCCCGACATGGCCATTGAGCGCATCAAGGAGCCCTACTTGGAAGTGCTTGACTGCTTTGTCATCTCTAAAAGCCTCGAGCAGCATGAGATCAAGCACCTGCACTTCCTGGCGAAGGATGTTGAAGACAGTCAATCCTCTAACCGTGATCGATCGTCCCACGGTCGGCAAACGCCAAACAGCTTCAACCCTGCTGATGTTCCTCGGTATGATGACACAGTAAATCAAGCTCAGTACAATGTCCCCGCAAGCCCTTCCCACATCCTCCGCGAACTGTATGAGACCTTGCCAGAGACCGGTGTGACGGAGGCCGGCGCTATCGAAGCTCAAACCATCGGTCCCCAAGCTCTGGCCAGTCTCGCGAAGGCTTCGACCCTTGAGGAGGCTCTCCTCATGCCAGACCTCAGCCCCTTCGGTTCGGTTCTTCGCCTATACGCCCAAGACCTCCTAGCAGCCACGGAGATCTACACATACCACGCCGACCTTTATACTGCGGGCTACCGTGCGGCAGCTCGGCATTGTCGACCGCGAGCCCTTCCCATCATGGAGGACTTTGAATCGGACAAGCATTTGTCATTGTTATTTCAGTCCCTTCTCCGAGTCGTGCTCAGAGCCACGCTGAACTACCGTAAGCGTCTGGAGAAGTTCCGTGGCTATTTCTCTTCTTCCCAGTCCTGCGAAGGAGTTGAGTGAGACATTCGTACCCTCCCTGCAACAGTAAGGGGTGTTACACGGTCGTACAATAACAAGCTTATGTAGTGGAGCAAGTACACTTGATGCATGTCCGAGCTCAGCCTTTTGCTGTGCTGCATGTGTCGACCAATGGCCCGGAACTTGTGGCAAAGTCCACTTATTTTCCGTGTTTCCAGAATTTCTATGACTTCACGCATTGACAAGCTAATGAAGTCAGATAGATCCTTTCGCGCTGTAGCAGGGAATGCGTTACCCGTAGCAACACGGGCCCGCAGAGAAAGGGACTCTACTGTCCCAAAAACGCTGCAGCATGCCATTCTGGATGGTCGCACAAATGAGGCCCTAGACGAGTTTCGCCTTTCGGTCTCGTCACCACGGTGGCTCTCCGTTGCATCTCGAAACAAGGGTAGGAGGCAAAAGAGATACATCCAGGGGGAATCGAACCCCCACCGCATCGAATCGCACGTGGCAACGATGCATGATACCATTTCACCATAGATGTTAGGACGATCTTAACCACTTCACCAACGTCGGACGACGCTGGCCAGTTTTCCGTGTTGGCAGCTGCGCCCAGTCGCAACTATAACGCCTCCGAAGTCGACTGCCCTCCTTTTTCCCCGGGCTCTGAGGCTAAACCGCTTGTTCATACCCGTGTACTGCGCATTCATGAGTAGTTGCAGCCTTGGGTGGAGGCAGGGTCGATGGAGTCGGGGGCGTGGCACTCAACTGGGGTACTATGCCCCATGACGTACTGATATGTGCCCCAGGCGGTGTCTTCGATCCCACTTGCGCTCTTTTCATGTGCCCCCCTGACCAGCTAGATCGCTTTCCAATCAACGGAGGCATGAGAGATCCGCCACGAGCAATGACTGTGGGGTAGAACTCCCGGTAGGACGTATCGCTGGTATAAGAGTCAACGAGGGCTGAGTTCACTTGCTTCATTATTCTACCCTCGACATGAGTCAGCACTCCAAGTACAGTAGTCAACCCATTGTCGGCACTTCCCCTACGACTGCTCAACCGACTGCTCACAGTCCTCAGGCTGCAAGCTTCGGCGGTCAGACCAGCATACCAGCTCAGCAGCACATCATCCATTCCCACAATAGCCCCGCCAGCCGCCAGGGTTCAACTGCCCAGGCGTTCTGGGACCCCTACGACCCATACGCCGGCCCCCTTCCTCCTGAGCTGGAGGGTGCCGTTCGCCACGAGGTGCGCGTCCAGCTCACGAAGCTCGAAGAGGAGTACGCACACCGCATCGTCGAGGTCAAGAAGAAGCACTACCTCTCGCACTCCAAGATGCGCAAGGGCGATCCCGAGTGGGAGCGGGCGCACGAAAGTCACACCGACGAGATGAAACAAATCGTCGATGAGTACAAGGAGAAGGTCAAGATGCTCCACTCTACGGAGCAGGATGTCTGTGGTGAGTGATCTAGCGGGGCATGGCTGATGGCAGCCTAGGAATATGATGAAAGTGCTTCAGCAAGGGAGTGAGAAGCGTCAGCATCAGCGTCAGTAGTTCCTGTGTTCATGTATCCTTCGTTGTGGCAGATCTGTGTGTTCGTGCCCCTCTACTGCATTGTCCTCGGGTAGACCCGGAATCGAAGTCCGAGGCTTTTAACACGAGCGGAAGATTCTCCTGCGCCGTAATGCATGACAGGTCTTGGGGCAATGTCTCGTTACTACCTCCACCAAACACTGAAGTCACCCAAACCGCTGCGCATCACCCCACCCGCGACTATCTGACGATCTCCGCGTTGCTTCGCGATGACACCAAGATAGAGATCGGCATGCATGAATTCCATTTGAAGCAGCGTTTCTCGATTCAGCTCATGAAGCGAGGGCAGAGTAGCACTGCATGCGCTTCCGTTCCGAGTCCGAAGGCAAGAATGTTGCAGATCTGGGGGCGCTGAAGAAACACACGACAAAGTCATGACTGACTTCATCGATGAGTTCAATTCTGAAGCGGACGTACTGGGCGGGGCCCACGGCCCGACGCTGAGACGGACCACAGAAAGCCTTGACCCACGCAGAGCTATATCTTATACTTTCAATGTGCTATCCCAAGCTTCACAGGAGGCTATAGTGTCTGTGAATAGCATTTTGCCGATACAGCGACGCCGTGCTGCCATCCTGTGTTCTCCACACTATCCGCCGACCGATCGTCAGCGTCGTCAGCTTCTTCACTTCTTCTTCCCTCCACATTCTGTGGGCGGACACCTGATCTCCCCGAAGGGTTGGAAAACAGGCGTGGGATTCGACATGGGATCCGACTCCTTTAACAGTTTATCCGGCGGTCGTGCGCAATGACCCACATCTAACACATTTCCAAGACTGACAGACGACGAAGAACTGCTCAACAGCGCGATTGACAGTCTTCTCAACGGCTGCCAGAAGGAGCGAGCGTGCCCTTGACGCAGCATCACCCCCACAATTACTGAGCAGAGGACATATAACAGGGGTGGGCTTCGGTTGCTGCCAATAGCGGGCAACATACCCACCGTCCACCGTTCACCAGGTGCTAGGATGCCAGAACATGGTGGACCAGGACCCCACTAGCTTGCCATCACCGAGGCTCGGACACCAACGCTGTTATGCTCATAGCATAGCAAGAAGCTGTTATGGCTGCGTAGCAATAGCAGCTGAAGTAAGGTGCTCGATGCCGACGACTCGGATGCGGGACTTGAACCTTTGACCTCACAGTATCCCCCGCGATAACGAAGGACGCAACAAAGCAACGCAGGCTTGGACTCAGCTTCTGCGTCAACATGACCGACAGTGTCAAGAGGAGAATGTTCGGGTCGTTGAGAAGGAAACCCGCCCAAACAGCATTGTTGCCGCTAGATCCCTCCCGACTCAATCTGCAACCATCAACCTGAAGGCCGCCCAAGCAGTGTCATCTCCATTCCTCGCAATCTTGGTCAGAGGCTAGAGTGAGGTCGGAAAGTCAAGCAGAGATTGCGGCCCAGTGAGTCGGCGCCTGCTTCAGTGACCTGTCGCCCTCGCGTCCCACCCTAAGCTGCAGCAGACGTGTCTGCTGTTGGAACATTGCCGCGCGCGTTCGATTCTCCTGCGGATTCATTGCGTCTTTTTGCGCGTCAGCCTGCTTTTGTTGGGCTGACAACGCCACCCAAGGGTCCCGAAGCAGCATTGTTTCCAGTCTGGACGGCTCAGCTCTGAACCGAACTTTCTTCTCGGCCGGACCTCATTCGATGACAACGATGGCCCGACCTTCACCGAACAGCTGCGTAGATAGCGATAAACCGCAACGATCATCGAATCGCGCCTAATCATCCCGCAGCGAAGGTCAAGGGGGGTTAGGAAACAGAAGCCCAACTTTCGGGTTGTGGCCACCTGCAGCTCTAGCACACCTCATTCAACGTCAAGCTTCCGAAGAAGCAGACTGGCTCGACCAATCCCGGTATCGGGGCCTGCCATGCCGCTTCCTCCAGCCCATAGCCGACCACCGGCGCACAAGTCATCATACCCGAGCGTGTGGCCTCTAAGGCGCGGGGACCGTAGAAGACGTGCGGAGTAACCGTCCTGGAGACCCCAAGAGCGGCGGAGCGCATGTGCATGCACGTCCTACGAGCGCTCGGCGTCCCCTGAATATCCTTCTCCTCATCCCCAAAGCGCACATCCTTGAGATCCGGATCCAAGTCATCAGTGATTCGTACCCTCCTCTTACCGTTCAGCCCCGTTATCGACAAGCTTCCACAGCCTCTTCATCAGGCTCAGCGGAGGTGTGTGTCTCCTTGATGAGCTTGATCGCCGTCTTACGACGCCAGCTCTGCGCCCAACTATTCTGGCAGTTCTTCACATGTTGATATGGCAGCGCATCAATCCGATCCCGCTCTTACCACCGCCCTCCCATGTTCGGTCTAGGCAGTACATAAGCGTAGCTCCTCTGTATCCGGGGATGTCTTAGCCCTCTTCATTCGGCACTGCTCGATCTCCAGCGTCCTTAACAAGCCATGGCGTATCCGACCTATTACGCTAACCACGGGCGCGGTCACCATGTGTGGTGGTTATGGGAGCGCTTCAAGGCGCTCTTTACCGGAGTTTCGTTCTACGCGCATCGTGAGCGGCCGCTGTCTGCTGTTCGTCGTGACCACCTCTGGTGTGGAGACCAGCCTGAGCACTGGAACGGTTATCGGTACGACCACCACCAGCCCGCGCCGCTACAGTCATTCTCTCAAAACTACTCGGCGTGCCTTCACCATCCTTACGGCTGCTTCTGTCATACTCGGTACGCGACATTGACGACGGCTAGCTATAGCAGCCAGCCTTACCGCGGCATCTTCCAGCCTGTGCCGCCATACCCCAAGTACGGAGAGTACCCTATCAGCAACCAAGCCGCTGCCACCTCCGCTCACTCGCCGGAGGTAGCTTTGTATAGCAGCCACATTGGTAGACGTTGGTCACCGCCCCCAAAGTACTCAGTTTACCCAGACGCACCCTGGGCTTCCCCAACCTCTAGCACTGTAATCCCCAGGTGTCCCGAAGCTTACTGGCCGACAGAAAGACGCATGCAAGCCCACTCAACTGGCGGTTCAATGGGCATTACACCGGGGACGCTCGCGGATCGGACACCAAGCCCCCTGCGTGCCAAAGAGAGCACCCACCGACTTTACAATCCCTCGCCACCGCCAGCACCTCCTCCAACGCCCGCAGGATATGCACTCGTCCAGTCCGTTTCCGAGACACCGTCTTCGGTTAAGAGCTGCCCTGCTAGTCTGCAATCGAGACAGCCGTTCACAAGTCCTTCTCCTGGCTACCGCGAGCAGGGAATGCTTAATAGGGTCCCTCCCAGTGGTTATCACCAAAGTCGTTCGCCAACACGGGCGGCGAATCCCACCAGCCCTCCGGCCACAATGTCTCAGCCGCCCCAGCCACCCGGCAGCAGGGAGTGGGAAGGATCTCCCTTGGGCAAGCTCCTTCGCCTTTCACGCTCAGAGCCCGCCGCCAGCCCACGATCCCCTAAGATGCGTCGCCACCGTGCACACAGAGACAACAGTCCTCACCAGGTTTCAGTCGCACCCCTGTCGCCTATCCAAGAGGAGCGTGGCCGTGCGGTGCCCTGCAGCCCTTCGGCAGCGCGCAAGCCACCGCAACAAGCCGAACCCAGGTCTCGTTCACGGTCCCGCTACCTGTCGTCATCTCGGACGCCTCCGACGCCCCCTCCCACTCCCAACGTGGGCAGCGGCAGTCCCTATCCTGACAGGCACACTGACAAGGTCGTCGGTCTTTCTAATCGCCCCAGCCCCTTAGTCTCCACCCCGCGCTCTACCAGGGCAGTTTCAAACTCACCCTCAGCCGCTCCCTCACCGGCACCTACCATGCATCCTCATCAGCAGCACCGCTGGAGTAGCCCGAAGCCTGACGGGCTTGCATTCCGGGCCAAGATCATTCGCCGCCTCGAAAGCAAGCTTCGCGTTCGCGGCAGTTCCAGTAACTGGAGTGCGGATGCGAACTCCGACCTATCACGCAACACGCACGACATCGTCAGCAGCCGCGACCGTTTCGACCGCCGCGACCACTTCGCAATCACCTGCAGCTCCGATCTGTGCGAGGCGTGAGTGTTCCTCACTCTGCATGGGTACACATCACTGTGCTGACAGCTAGCTCGAATCGCCGCGTAAACTTTGCACCGGTTGTACGTGTTGAACCCTACTTACGCGGCGCACCCCTGTATCCTCCCCCTGGCACGCCCAATGAGCTCGGCTACGACGCTACCCCTTCACGCTTTTGAAAGGCCCCGCTGATACACCCCTCACGCTGTAAACAGCCGGCGGCGTCCTGTACTGTCCGTACGTGCTCGCTATTCTTGAGTTTAGTGTTCATGTATGTCTATTGCCACCCCCATTCGCCACCCGACCCAAAATGAGGAGCAATCAGTCCTTCATGCCGCATCGAGTCATGCTCGAGCATGTTTGGTGCACCCTAGGAGGTGATGTGTAATCGAAGTCCAGATCGACCGCCCGCGTGTCAAACAACGCACTCGACACGACTTACTCATGCTGCCTGGCGTGCTTTGGTGACTCCCGGTGACACCTGCTACGTCCGTAAGACATCCTCTCGGAACAACTCGCTTCTAACTCGATCGAGTGCTGGTTCCGTTGCTTCTCCGGCCACTGATGAGCCGGGCGAACAATACCAGCGGCCGTTTGAGTTGCGCTTAGCCTTATCTCGGCTTGAGTGTCCAGGGTCACTGACGCCTCACCCTGACCGTGTACTTACCCTGGGCCGATGGACAATGCCGATAGCGTTTGACGAGAGTCACCGCTGCAGAGCGCCCAACATCCTGCAAGATTCTCAACGAGCACCAGACCTTTCCTCCGACACAGCCGCACAGCCCTCAGCACCCTTGAGGTCCCCACATGGCTTCGTTTCAGCACGTTGCTGGCGGAGTGTGCGTGCGGAAGAACTAGTTTCATCGCCCAGGCCGTGGTATCGAAACGCCAGCATCAAGAACCCTTTAGAACAAGCCTCAGAGTCAAGCACGCCAAGGTGGCCTGTCCACCTTCTCTCTCAGCTGTGCAGGAAACAATAAGAGACACACTCCTCAGCCTGCATTGTCTGGTACGATGGCGTACCATGTCCATTGTCTGCACGTCCAGCTGCTTCGCGAGCGATCCTTCGGACATAGGCATGACTGCCCCGCACCGCCCCCACGGGGCAAGAGAACATTTGGCATCTACGATTCCCAATGGAGGCATTTTTGCTTCTGAAGTGTCCGGAACAGATTTGCAATTGTCTGGAAGAACGGCATTGCACCCTTGTTGCTCAGAGCCGAGAGAAGTTTCACGCCGAGCGGTGTGCGCGTCGACGTTGAAGTCAGTCGCGTTCAGGTTGGTTGTGGTTGTTGTTTCCCATGGCTTCACCGACATCGAAGACCCTATGCCCAGAACTTTGGTCATCATTCCATCGTCTCTTGTGATGGTGTCGATGATTCATCTACCATTCACTCACATTCCTGCGTCAGATGACATAAACCTAAGAGGCCGCCAGGGCTCATGCCCCTATGCCCGAAGCCTCACGGAACGGAATAAGACCAGTGTCCGGAACAGAGCAAAAGAGATCTCTGACCGGAGGGGCGCTGTGATGTTCCAAGGTCTGACATCATCGTTCTCCACATTCGTCGTGAACCCTGCATGCAGTTCGCTGCTATTAACCATCTCAGTTGCTCTCAGCTTCCTCACCATCATACCCACGCGACAAACCATGACCATCTACTCAATCGCATCACTCCGAGAGCGCCGATGCGAGATCATTGACGACTATGCGGCCCGCATTCGCCGCTGCCACAGGCGATACGACGAGCACCGCGCAGCTGTGGTCCAGCGGTGTCAGCCATTACAAGACTCCATTAAGTCCGGTCGGCATGTGACTCGCCTGAACCGTACGCTGATCCAAGCATGCCGCGACCTAGACATGCTGGAGCAAGAGGACATCACACGACTCAAAGACAGTCGCTCGGCAGAACTCGACCTTCTCGACCAGTCACTTGTCCTGCCGCATGGCGAAACGGAACCTATGACGTTCGCGCAGTACGAGATCCAGATCCGACCAGGCCTGGTTGCCGATGCGGCAAGACGTGCGATCCTGTTTAGTGCGGCTGTGATTCTTGCCCGCAGGAACACAGACCGAGCCACACACCACGACCTGCTGGACGATTGGGTGAAGGAGTTTGACTCTGTGAATTACAATGCTTAGAAAGCGCAAGCGCACGCTGGCAGATGGAAGGGTTGTGAAACTGGAATCGAGGCGGGCGGGCTATGTGCCTGAAACATAACCGCATAAGGCGCAATGTGCGAGGCGCCCGGGTTCATCACGATCACGTGCCGGAAATTAATGCGATATTCTCCAAAATTGAATGGCCCGCCACCGCTGTTGTTGGAGTGCTGCACACGCCTCTTCAGCAGTCACACATGAGAGAGAACAACAGCAGTCCACGTGGCGAGTCTCGGATGCCATTGTACGTCCATTGAATACATAAAAGTCCTTTGTACAACGCGAGTCTTCATGCGGTTGCTGCCGTTGGTGTTTGGTGTTGTGAGCGATGACGGATGCGATGCCCAGTACGCTTAGATCATCTTCCAGCAGTAGCGGCAGCGGTAGCCAAGCCTGTCACCTTCGTCGCACTTCTCTTTCACAATGTTAACACGAGCAGTTCTGCAATATATCATGAGTCTCGACCTACTGCCGCGATTGAAGTAGAAGAAGCGCCCTGCACAACGACGCTCGGCCTTGACGACAGTGGTGAGCGAATAGCTGGTGGCCGAGCGGCCGGGACGACCTTTCTTGATGCTCTCGGGCTTCTTGGGGGCTTGAGGGGGCGGCGTGGTGTTGGCTTCCGCATCCACCGTAACAGGGTAACCGCACGTCTTCAGAACGAAGTGCCAAATGGCGACCATGAGGCCGCGGAGGTTGCCGAGCGGCTGCTCCGCGGTGATAGTGACGGGCGGAGGCAGAGGGGCCGAAGTCGTCGCCATGATGTGCACAGACGTCGTGGACGTGGTCAGCGTGACGGGCGTGGTAGTCGCATTGGGAAGCTTGGGGGCGGTCGACGCGAGGTATCCAGACATGGCTGTTTTAGCTTGAGTAGGGCGCGTCGCTCACCCGAGGTATGGATGAGATTGAGGTGGGAGTGCCGAAGATGACTACAGTTGTCGTTGTTAAGAGGCTGGAATGAGCGCTTCCTGCGTCTGTCGACGTGCGCTGTGCGGCCACAAGGTCTGCCGCAGACAGCACAGGGGAGCGAAGGATCTGGTTACGTTCGCACTCGCAACATGTCCGCACCGTCTGGACAGAAACGCCTCCTCTTCCCACGGCCAGCAAACACCGACGATGTCGTTGTTGCACCCGCACGGGCCACTGGACAAGAGCACGACAGCAGAACGCACAGGTCAGAGCCGAGGTACCTAGCGTTTTGGCGGGAGTCACATGCTTAACCGCGACAGCTGCAGGTCGAGGAGCCGTGGACGAGGCACAGCGACTGCCGCCGGCGGAGCCCAATTGATTGTGCCGGGGGGAGACAGCGCTTCAGGCCCGACGTGCGTTGTGCTCCGGACGTTCGACAGTCTTGGGGTGTCTTAGCGGGGCCAGACTCACAGACTGGTGATGCGAGCTTGTCTGCACTGCCAGCAGCCTCCGCGGGCAAGCAGCCTCCTCAAGTTCCCCAACGCTCGTAATAGATAGGTTGCCTGGGAGGAGCACGCTCCCCATGAAGAACGCCAGCATTTGTGCTGAGATTTCGCCAAACGTCTGGTGTCGTCATTCGCTGAGAGGCTCCCAGGTCAGGGCTGCAGAGGTTCAATGCAGCCATGCCGGTGCCATCCCGTCCTCCCTAAATGTCACTGTTGCAGGGCCAGGGTCTGATAACGATGAAGCCTTGAGTAAGGAGTCAGTGAGAACCCGTCTTCAATAGCCTTTGGACAGCAGTCGCTCGTGGTGGTGAGATCATGTACATGCTGATACTGGCTATCCTACAACTATGCTGCCTCCTTATCCGCTATTCACTTTTTGCTCACGTCGGGGTTTTCGCTCGAGAGGGCTCGCCGGCCGGTTGGAGCGTGCAGCTTCGATGTCGCCTCAGTTGGGACAGGGGATCATTTGATAACAGTGGGTACACATATCATCGCCCAAGCCGGGACAAGGAATGCAGTAGTCTACTCGTCAGTCATCTCTCCGAGACTGTGCTGTCAAGCTCCTCGGCACTAACGTCCACGGTTGAATCCATCAAAACGGCGGCCGGTGCAGACTTTGGTGATACCGTGAGGGGAGCTGGGAGGGACGTCGCGCTGAGGGTCAAACGGGTGGCGGTTGGGGCGGCGGCTAACCCTGAAGAGCGCGTTGGCGCGGGGACCGGTTGTCTGCGCAAAAGCGGTGTCGTCCTGGAGGTCGACGGTGTCGTCGGCGTCCTTGTTGCGGCGAAAGAGCCACGCAAAGCAGGAGAAGAGCTGCCCCATGTTGGTCTTGATCGGTGTGGAGGTGATGTCTCGATCTGGGAGGGTGTTGTAGCGGTGAGTAGGAGGTATTGTCTTGGTGTTTTGATGGGATGGTGGATGCGAAGATGGGGAAGTGGAAAGGTCAGCGATGGCATTGCCCATGGGGAGGAGGAGGAGGACCACTTAGGACTCAGCTGCGCCTTTCGCTTGATTGAGCGAGAGCGGAACACATCGGAAGCACGCACACAGTTTACTCAGCTGCACACATCCCATTACGACGCTGTGCAGTGCGACACGACAAGGTGCGAAGGCTGGGGAAATTTTGGCAAAACCCAACGGGCCGGCGGCGGGGTGGGAGAATTGTACGGTGATGGTGTGGTGGTGAGTGGTCGTGAGGTACGGTCCGCACGACTCGTCCGCCTTATGCAAGTTGCAAGGGGTGTGACGGGGCTCTCTTACCTCCGCTTGAATTTTCAAGCGTCTTGGGAACGCTGTGATGGAAGTATGGTGAGGTCGTTGGCTATCTGAGGCGAACATGACCCTCCATCCTTGACAGGGGATTAGGATGCACCGTGTCTGATGGGGTAAGCGTAGGTTTTACATCTGTCAGCGTTCAGTGGATTGCAACAGCGAAGGGTCATCATAAAGTATTCATTCTAGTCCTGCATGAGGGACGAGGTGCGGGAGGGGCAGATCTCAAGGGAAGGGTCGAAGATGAACAACAGGTCGCCCATGGGACGGTTGCACCACCTGCAGCGCTGGCAATTGTCACCGAGCATAACGCAGTCCTCTTCTCGTCAGTCCTGTCCACGCATTGAGCTCACGGTCCACGTTCTTGCCGTCGTAGGTACCAAAGCAGCCGGGGCGATTCTTGCGGGTGGACGTGACCGTGAAAGTGGAGGGAGTCTTGTGAGCCCTGAAGCAGGGGAACTTGAACATCGTAACTATCGTCAGCGCGACGCTGACCAGGGGTACCAGAGCTCACTGCTGAACCTCATGGTGAAGATGTTCGAGATTGAGGGTTGAGAAGCGCCAATGCAACCTTATCGACATATATCCACCGCTCACCACCACCTGCATAGCTCGAGATAGAGACACTCCGCGGAGGAGGCCCACTCTACGCAGTCGTCCAGACTTTGGACCAGACATGTTGACTGTCTGTCCAGAATCTCAGTAGAGTGTCGCACTTCTGCGGACGAGCTCGCCAAGACCATTGGGGCGCAGTGAGCCAACGAGGTGCTCGGAAGGGGTCTACGACGCTCTCTGACCCACAGTCTGTGCGCAGCTTCGCAGGTTAATCACTCGGAGCATCCCGCTTCGCTCCGATCGAGGGTGATCGGACTCGATCACAGGTTGGAGCCTCAGCAAGTTGCTCGCGTGGTGAGTAATTGTCGGCTCGACAGTGTCACAGTGGTGCTGAGCCGCTTGTGATGGATGATGAGTTTCAGGCGTGTCTCGACCTCTGACGCTCCGCTCAGAAGCCTTGCAAGGATGAGCTAGTCACATTGCAGCTATGCATACATATTGCTCCGTCACCATCTCCTATCTAGCCAAACCATACGTGCCGGTGACAGCTGGTGAGTAACGACCTCACATGAAGCGCTCGCAGTAGAAGCAGAAGTACACGCCGTCAAACCCCTGCACTGCGCGGCACTCGCCTGTCCGTCAGCTCATCTTGGGTAGGTCGGTAGCTCACTGCCGCGATTGTCCCCGTCGTCGTCTCCACAGCACATGTCGGTGTCGCGGTGCCCCATTGCAGGTACTCCTTCTCCCGGCGCTTGGCTGCTGGGCTTGCTGAGCTGTCGTCGTACTCTGGGCAGGCTGGCGCTGAGGTGCCTTTTGATGTGGTCGGCTGTTTGGTGACGGGTCGACTTTTGGGTGGAGGTCTGATGGGGGTCCAGCTGACGGTGCTGTTATATGAACAAATGGCTTTGCCGGAACGACCCGTGGGGCGACAAGTGGGACGACAGAGAAGCTGCAGTTAGCGAGCTAAGCTCATCGTGCGAAGAGGACGTACACAGATGTCATCAGACGGCACGGGGTCACACCGTGCAATGGCGGGATGATGGGAAGCAACACACACCCCTCCCCAAAGGTCAGCAACATCACGCGCGAAGGCGCACTCTTCTACGGTCATGACGTCTACGGTACGTCTGCTGCGAGTTTTGCCTCAACCCCACATAGGGTCATCGTGCAGCCACATGGCAACCGTGAGCGTTTGGAAGTGAAGGGGGTAATGCGCCATTTTTCCGTCGATCGGGGCCTGAGCGTCAGGAGCTCAAGGCAGTGCACGGAGTCAGTGATCAGTGGTGACAGCGAAGCGACACGAAAAGGAGGTGCATAAGATGGGACTCTGATTCTAGCAGAGCCCCAAGAGATTGAAGAGATGAAATGCTGGGCGCCGGGAGTGAGATACGTGTGTGGGAACTCCAGGCCCGTCTAGGGCAACTGGGGCGCGGGCGCAAGGAGAGATTACGGATTGATGGGACTTGATGAGATTTGGTAGTTGCGGATTTTCGAATCTCGCTGGCCGTCGGGATGCGGGCTGCCCAGTAGGCATCGTCTCGAGGTCGCTTTTGAAGGAGGGGAAGAGGAGACCGAGGATGGGTAATTAAGGGAAGGGCGGACGAAGTGTCGCTAGCAGGAACTACTCAATAGCCTGCAGACAGTAGGAGCAGAAGACGAGGTCAGCGACCTGGACCGGGGCGCAGGTGCCTGCTGTCAGCTATTTCGAGATGCACCCAGCTAATGAAAGAAACCACTCACATCCCGCGTTGTTGCCGTTATCGTCTCCAGAGCAGGGCATTGTTAGGTTTTTGTGATATGAGTATGGGGGCGTGAGAGTCGTAGTGGTGTCGCTGTGTGACGTGTGCCACGAAGAATGAGAGGTGGGGGGAAGAAGGAGGGTTATAAGGAGGTCGGTGATGAGAGTTGGAGAGGTGAGGAGTTAGGGCGCTGGTGGAGCTGAAGGAAAGCGAGAGTAGCAAAGGACAGTAGATGACGGAAAGTGCAGTGTTGAACGCGCTGGCTGCTGTGCGTTGTGTTTCGTGGAGGACCCGCGAGTGTGGAGGCAAGGGGAACGTCGATCGTGCCCCGCCAGTCTGCGGACCGACGCCCCGATCCACCACGCCCCCGCGAAATTCCCGCCTTCATGAGGCCCCCAGTCGTACCGCAGTACGCGCTCAATGCTGCCAGGAAACGTGTGAGACCCTCTTGCGTACGTTGTCAGGCTATTGACCGCAGCATGCTCCTAAGTTTCAGGCAGAGTTGCGGGCCGAGCGTGGTGCCTACACGTTGACCTCTCCACCCCACATGTCTTCGCAGCCCATGTGGTTTAGAGATTTTACGACCACAACGGCAGCTCAGAGCGGTGCGTCGATACCGCCGGGTGCAGAGCATCCCAGATCTCGAAAATCTGGGCACAACCAGCGGACGCGAAACTCTGAAAATCGAGCCGGGTCCAGATCTGCCACACTCGCCCTCGTGCCCTCCCAAACTGATATCCTCCTGCATTGCGTGCTACGTCGATATGATGGCAACCAGATAGGCATGCTGCAGCGTCGAAAGCCTCAATTGAAGTTATTGAAGTTGGGATTGCAACTGTGCTCGCAGCGCCGTCACGGCCCCGCACCACTCGCCCATCTGCGCATCCTGTCTCACCCATAACGCAAAGTTTCGCTCGACGCTTTTCACCACCTCCAGTGTTGCCTCCAAGACTTGCTCCACGACTTTGCGACTGGTCTGGCCCCACGGCTGCACAGCAAGCTCCACAACGCCTCTCCCTCGACTCTCTACCGCTCACCGCCCGTCTCTCCTCCACAACCACCTCATCTCGACCGACCGCAGTACCTAACGGCACAGACGACCATGGGCCGCAAGATCCCCAAGCCTGAGCCTCTTGACCCAGGCATGTGCGTCGGTGACTACCTCGGGGACAACCGCAATCGTGAGCTTTCCATGCATTGATCTGAAAGCTGAACGCCAGGGCCCTGCCACTTCCTCTACATTCGCGAGAAGCGATATCATGTCTGCGGATACTGCTATCGCTGTGTCTGGACTGCCTGAATCGCCCAAACTCCTATTCATGCTCTCGTTGTGATACCGGCTACTCTTCTCGCACCGCCGAGTGCTGGTGCTCAGCTCGCTGGTATAGTTGTACATCCCTCCACTACACTTTCGTCTATGTAGCCTCCACCTCCACCTCCACTCAGCGATCCACTCTCCACCGTTCCAGCACCCGTATCCTACCTCCTCCAATAGCCTAAGATGAGACACCCATCGTTCCTACCCACGTGCCAAGCAGCTCAGAGACAGCGGGAAGAGCAACGGAATGTACAATGATGCATGCATGCTACAGAAGAGTGGGTCTATACAAATGTGATCGTCAGGGGCCTTTAGTCTGCCGGCGGCCGGCGTGGGCCGGCGACGAGTAAGGGTGAATTGTATCAGGGGTGGGAGCGCGGGGCTCCGTGCTTTAACCAGGTTAAGCTTTCGGCTGTCGACGCCGGCGGCTTGCTGCATTGTTTGTCAACGTGGGCTGTTGTTTTTGAAGGATCGTGCTGAGAATGCGTAGTGGTTGAGAAGTGTCGATGCAAGAAGGCGTGGAAACGGCATGGCATGTCGATCTCGGACATGAAGTCAAGAAGCTCAGGACGAGCGCCAGATCGACATCGACAGCCTCCTCAGCCATCCCTTCTCCTGTCTCATGGGGGTGAGGAAGTGCCAGAGCGTCACTTTCTGGCAGAACTGGCACCAGAGCTTCTCTTCACTGAGTCGAACGAGATGACAGGGTGCTGTTGTTAGCTACAGGTTGAAATTAACAGCTCACCGCCGGCGTTGCGCGAGCACGAGTCCCCGACACAAGGGACGTCGACCATGCCGTACTCGCTCGGGGAGCAGCCGGAGCTGCTGGTCGTGCAGGTCGAGTCGGACCCGACGCTGCTGAGTCTGTTTGTGCGGGACGGAATGGTGAAGAATGGTTCGGAGGAAGGAAGGTTATTCTGAGAGAGGAAGAACGTAGGTCGGTAGTAGGTCGAAGTCGGGGATGCGTGCCCGCCAGGATTCAGGGCTTTATGAGCAGTCGCGTGAGCTGAAGCCGAGGTCGGTCGTGAGAGCAAGAGTGAGAATGATGCCAACGGTGTCCACCAAAGGGAGAGTGTGTAAGGCGCAGAGTAGTGTGTTGGGAGAAGGCGAGATGTGTGCGTTATGGGAAAAGTCGACGTCGGCGTCGGTGCATCCCGGCTGCTGGCTGGAACACTGGATCTGGCACGAGTCCAAGGGGGCGCAGTTGCCGCACGGTCCCGATTCCTCAAATCTGGTCTTTCGTCCAGGCTGTGTTTCTGTCGTCAGTTGCGTAAGCACATCGCAACTCACTTTATTGTGCAAGTCACTGGTATGCTTGCGATACGCTATGCTTTGCAGTGTGCAGAGAGCGGTGGGCGGTGTTGCGGCTGTGCGCCGTCACGTTGGCGGAGGCTGGGAGGCTGAAAGGACAAGGAACCGAAGTGGAGGTGGAGGTGGAGGCGTTTGTTTTCGTTTTGGGCGCCGTCACTGAGCGGCGGTGGTTGTCGCAGCGGTGGTAGTGACCGTAGGTGCGGCGCGGAGTGCACGATCGAACAGGTCGTATGCGAACCCGTACTCGATTCTGCAGAAGTAGCAGTAGTGCCCGTCGTCGTAGGGCAGGAACCAGCAAAGTCCTACTCGTTAGTTGCTGGGCGGTATCCGACAACTCACGACCTGCGTTGTGCCGTGAAGGTCTAGAGCCAGCACAGAAGATGATGACGCGGGGGTAGCCGGGGATTTGGACGTATTGCTGAGCTCCTTGCTCCTTGGGTTGCTCTTGAACTTGATTGGAAGCTTTGGCTGGGACAGGGGCGGGGACTGGAGCTGGAGTCTGGCTCATTACGGTGAGCTTTTGCGAGGTAGGTGGTGAGGATGATGGCGAAGGTGAGTGGAGCGAGGTGAGTAGGTTAGTCGTAGTGCACCGACCAGACGCACAGACCATACGCGCTGCGCGCACTTGGAATGAGACAACCCCCTGCACCACAGCTTCGTATGGTGATCCGCGTCTCGATCGCTATGCGCTATGCTATGCATTGGCCCCTTCACATCCATTGACAGGAGCGCCTCGTTCGCCCTGGCTCCTTCACCTCTCGACCGGAATGAAGGAGATCAGGAGAAGATGTGGAGCATGGGGTTACCACTTGACAGCCTTGGTGCACCACTTGCAAACCCAGCCGTGATGCTTGTGCTTGACGGGTGTGCAGAACTCTGGCCACGTTAGCTCGGAGCAATATACTGGTGAGCTCACCGCCCTGGTTGATGCCGCGGTAGTCGCCTGTGCAGAGAATGGCGTTCATGGTGCTCGTTTTGAGTAGAGCGAGGTATTAGAGAAGGGAGCGATCTATGAATGTAGGCAGACAGTGTCTGATTAGACGTTTGCGAGGGTATGCTACTTTGTGGTGTCGGGGAAGCGTCAAGCCCCGTGCGTGGAGAGCGGTGAGCAAGCGAGAGCGTCGAGCTCGGCAGCGTCAAGCTGAGTGTTGGGGGTTGCCGGGTCACAAGAGTTCACAACGACTTAAGTATCTCTTTCGAGATGGGCGGACCACGTCGTACGTCGCCGACGTTGTTCCAACGCAACACAACTATTGTCGAACATCGTGCTTCGCGCGTGTCATAAAGATCCGGACGAGCTATGCGCAGTCGACATTGCGCAGCAGTGGACGAGCCTGGCCAACGGCGACTGTGGGGAGTGTGAGCCTTTGTTACTGCACCGCTTGGTGGCTGGGGCGTCGAGGTACGTTAGGCGGGGCGTGAGTATGGGAGACGGGGCGTTGTAGTACGGGCTGAGTCGCGACCCAGGCGCACGTATGGGGCACGTTTGGCAGGGGCGTGCATGATAATCTTGGACACTTGGAAGACCTTAGCGACGTTGCTCCTGAGACTCAGATTGATGGGGCGCCAAAAGTCGACGATCGTGAAGTCTTCCCCAGAGCAGCGAAGAAGACTCGCGGTTCAGTCAGCCGCTACAGAACCCAATGCATCTGTTTCCTTTGCCTATGAACTTGTTTACAACCTTGCTAAGCCTGCCTATACGTTCTCCGTGACCTTGCGCCCGTCATCGTCGTCGTCCTGCGTCGGTGCGTCCGCCGCGTCCTTCTCTCCGCTCGCGCGCGCGGCTGCCGGCTGCGGTGATCGGGGCGGCGAGTTAGTTGTCTGAGGGGACAGATTGGATCGCGGCGACGGCGGCTCAACCTGCGCTGACGAGTGGGAAGATGGCGGCTCTGCTGGGGCAAGCCCAGCGCCAGTGGCAGAGGAGGAGGCACCGGCAGTCGAAGAGCCAGCAGGAGGAGCCTCAGTCGATGCAACGATGTGCAGTCCCTCCTGTGGCGGCCGGACCTTCTTGGGCGACGAAGGCGGTGACTTGGATTTGACAGGCGACTTCCCCTGCGGCTGAGCAGCCGCAGCGGCGCCCTCGCGCTCCTGCCTCGCGAGCGCAGCGTGCATGTTGTCCTTCGTGACGACGTCGAAGTGTCCGGGTCTGAGTGTCAGTTACATCTAGCATCCCGCTAACTCACCGGTACAGCAGCGTCAGCGGCCTGGCATCTTCGCTCGCCGCGTTGTCGCCGACCTCGAGCCAGACATCGTCTCCCTGGCTCTGGTCGAGATACGCCACGCGGACAGGCATGCGGAGTGCACTTGCCAGCGCCGTGATCTGGACATTGTCCGCTTCCTTGCCGCACGGCTCGACCTCCTCCCTCGCAAACTGCTCCGGAGATATCGGCTCGAACGTGACGGGCGAGAAGAGGAAGGCTGCGAAGCGCTCCTCGTGCGTGCGGATGTAGGCGCCGGTGATGAGACGCAGCGCGACGACAATGTAGTTGCTCCGCTCCGGATCTTGCAGCAGCTGCAGGAGGGAGTACTCGGTCGGTTCGTTGCCGGGGGAAGGCGAGACGAAGCTGCTCACGGCCCCGATGAGGGGATCCATGAATTCCTCCACCTGAAAGGTCAGCTGAGATTGGAGCTGCTGAGCTTACGAGATCAGCCTGGAAGCCTGCACTTTGCATCGAAGGAAGCGTCGCGTTGATAACGGCCAGGGCGGCCTCGGCGTCGTCCTTCGGTGACGGCGCATACAGGATGCGCAGGAGGTAGGCGAGCGTGAAGGCTGTCTGTCAGCTCAAGACTGCCAGTGAAGCTTACATCTGTAGAAGCAGTCTCCGTCTCCGCGAGCACGCCAAGCCTGGTCCCACCCGTTCGCCTCGAGATCCTCCAATTTGCGCAACACGGCGGGGCTGCCGTGAAGGTACTCCTTCTTGATGGCGAGGAGGGGGACGGGGCCGGTGAGCAGGGGCTGGGGTCAGCTCGAGATACCTTTTCCAGAGCTCACCTGCTTCAGCACGTCGGCCTGTATCCCCTCCGTCAAGCGCGCAATCTCCTGATCCGTGAGGGAAGACAGCGCCGTCGTCTCATCTATGACCCTCTCTGGCCGCGGCGTGCGTGCGCCGCTAGCGTAGCCGCCCTGGTTCTCCCATGTCATGCCAGCATCAGCCGCGGCCATGGCGCTAGCCATGAACTCGGACATGGGCGCTGCGTTCGCTGCATTTGCATTCCCTCCAGTGCGCGATTCGGAGCGGCTATGAGACCCGGCGGCGGGCGTGCTGGTCCCAGACGCCGAGGTCGGTTTCGGTTTCGGTTTCGGCCTGCTGCTGCCGGACGTGGGAGAGGTCGGAGGGCGCTTGTCGTCCTTGCTTGCGCCGAAGACCTTGTTGAGCCATCCCATGATGGAGAGGTGGTGATGGATGAAGTCCAGCGGGGCGAGAGCTGATAAGAAGTCGGGTCCCAGATCCCAGATCCAGACGACGCGACAATGACGTTGGCCTCGCGCGCAGCCAAGCTTGGCTGGGCTCGGCAACAAACCCAGCAGCCTACGGCGGTGCCTGTCGCCACCCAGCCAGAAGTCACGTGCACCGGCATCCTGCCCGATCGCCCTCCGCCCGCCGGTCTGGCGCGTCCACGAAATGTCGAGACGCTGACGCTGACCGCCTGTCAGCAACACACACCAGATCACACTAGCACGCATGGCGGCGACGACGAAGCTGGTTCTCCAGCCCCATCTGCGAGAACGCCTCGAGGCTGTCTCGCCACTGCTCGAAGAGGGGCTGCGGAAGGAAGTCGAGGCTGTGCTCGCTCAGCCTGAAGTGGAGGCCAGCCGCGCAAGCGCAGGCAGCCTCGTGGAGGAAGGATCAGCAGCGATCGCCCCAGCGAACGAGAAAGAGTCACATTCCAGCGTGACAGAAGTGAACGAAGCGCGAACAGTAGACGACTCAGCGACATCGCCTGGCGAGACAGAGAAGGCGGAGAAGACGGAGAACGCGACGGAGGCTGGAGCCGCGGACGAGATGGTCGAGGAAGAGCCGGAAATTATCCCACCAACAGTCGACGTCGACCTGCTCGACCGACTATCGCGCTGGACGTCTGGCCGAGAAGCCTCCCTCCGAAAGGCTGGTCTTGGTGAGCTACCTCGGGTCCTTCGATCCAGCTAACCCCAGACCCCGCCGAGTACAGCTACATAGCTCTCTTGGCGGGCACGTCGGCTTACCTCCCTCGGGCGCAAGTACGAGCACTTAGGGATGCAGAGCAGACGAGCGATAAGGTAAGCTTTGTGGCTTTCGGTGTCAGCTGACAGCAGCCATCCCCCTACCTCCCCTCCCACCTGCCACCAACCCTCCAACCAACCTTCGCGTCGGAGTACCGACAACTGACCCGCCTGCTTTCGACGCTGCTCAACATCCTCTTCTCCGTGCTTGGGTGCGGATTCGCAGCGTACGTCGCCGCAACCACCGGCGCTGGGTGGAGTAGGGAGAGCGCCGTGCTCCTCGCCGTTGCCGTTGGCGCGATTGTCGGCGTGGCCGATGCGGGTATCGTGTTCCTGTACAAGCGAAGGGTGAAGGAGGACGGTGTGCGGAGCGCAAAGCTCAGGGCAAAGTACAGCCGGGGAACGGGGGCTACGGGTGTACTCCTCGAGCGAGACGGGGAGGGCGAGATCACGAAGGAAATCGAGGTCGTTGCGGGTGAGGCGACGATGATTCCAGCGCCGAAACGGGAAGTCAGGCTCCGGAGGAGAGCAGTCGGCGAGAAGGCGTAGAGGAGCACTTAGAAGAACTAGAATGTAATGCATGGTAATACTGATATGCTGGGTATACGTATGAATGAGAGTTGTATGCACTATACGGGCCCGTCGATGATGCCCATGTCCGCGCCGCCGATACCGCCTACCGCACTCCCCTGTGTCGGTTGCGGGATGCTGCCATCGTTGCCCGGTCTCTCCACTTTCCCTCCCTCGCCTACCCCCGTATCTCCCCCTCCCCCGGCACTCGCTCCGCTTCGTCTCGGCTTGTAGATGAGCACCAAAATGAGTCCCACGATGATCAGGATCAAGAGCAGGATACACTTCCGCTTCCCCGTGTTGCTCTGATATCGCTTCGCGACCTTGAGCTCCTCGACGGCGTCGTCCATCTGCCGCGCGGTTTGCTGCACGTTGTACTCGACAGAATCCAGTACCGTACCCTGTTGCACGATCAAACCCGACAGGTCACGGAACAGATCCGCCAGCTCCGTGATCGAGGTCGCGATTTGCGTGATCTCGTTCGTGCGTTGTTGGATATCGACGCTCGGCGCGTACTCGGTCGACTGGAGCTGGACCGCGGCCTCGTCCTCTGCCAACGACTCGAGGCCCTCGTTCCCCCGGAGCGAGATCGCGCCAGACGCAGCGAGCAGGTCCTTGTTCTTGATCTGGTGTCCTTGCAGTTCTGTCGTCAGCTCAACACCAAACGCTCATCAGCTGTTCACGCCACGCATAGACAGGATGGCGGCTCTACATGCAGCACCTGCAGTGTCTGCAGCTCGCTACTCACTCTGCATGTATACCCGCTGCTTCTTGCGGAACTGCCCGCTCGCCTCCTGCACCTTCTGCGCGAGGCCGCGCTGCACGTTCTTCGCTGTAAGGCGCTCGACTCGGGCTGTCCCCGCCTCTGGCGTGATCGTCCCGATCAGGTTGGACGCTTTCCGGAATTCCTGCTGTCAGCTACAAGGTGACGAACGATGTAAGCTGTGACCTTGCGGGCGTCGAAAATGGCTACCCACACTGGCCGGAAGCCTAGGCCACAGTACACCAGTATCCGCTACGCTCCGCCAGATCGCACTCACTCTCGTGATCTCCGTCGTAGCCTTCTCGATCTCGCGCTCCTCGGCGCTCCGGTCGTTGAAGCCGGGCAGGACATGCTTGGCGTGCAGCTTGTCTAGCGCTGCGACCTTGCCCTTGACACGGTTCAGAATGTCCTCGACCTCATCACTAATGTCGACCCTGCTGGTTAGCTACGACTGCACATCATTCAGCTTCGCCGACGTCATAGCACACCACGGCGCTGGTATGCAGCATCGCTTCATGCAGCAACACGCACCACTTTGGTGGGAGACCTTGTGAGAAGTCTACTCGGTGCTCGCGGAGGAGGCCGCCCCGCTCGTCGTCTTCGGCTACGTCTGCGCCGTAAGATGGGCCGGCCTGGCGGCGAGAGCCGAAGGTGGACGTGTCGCGGACGGAGAGGAAGAAGAGGGTCCTGTTGCGTGTGATGGGCTGGTTGTCCTTTTCTCGAATGAATGGCATGGTGGGTGGTAGTGGGGGAGATGCTGCGTCGCCGTCGGTGCTGGCAGCTGTTGGGTGAGCGCGCGGCGATGGCGATTGCAGGCTCAAGGAGAGTTGCCCGCCGGTCGAGATGTTGGCTGGATGTTGAGGATGATGCAACGGCGGCCGGGGACTGAATGGGCAGACCCTGCTCGCTCGCTCAGCGGGAGGCGCGATAAGGGCCAGGCTACAACGTGGCAAGGTGGGTGGGGCCGATAATGAGGGTCAGGGGCTCGCTGATGAGGAGTTGTGCCTAATGAGTCACGGGGGTGCACGTGATGGGGATTAGGAAGAATGGTCCCGGTTTGTAATGGGTGTCCATTGGTCGCTAAGTCCGGGCCACGTGGCGCCAGAGTCAACCGGACAATGCGCCCCGCACGCAAGCGACTTTACGACTTTTCAGCCCTGGGCGGCTGTGACCGGTCAGATGACAGCCGATGATGGGATCACTCCAGCGACCGGCTTTGGCTTTCCCAAACTTATCGATCCCTCTTTAGAATTTACTCCATCTCTCACTTCCTTTCCTCGACACTCCACGCCCAAACACTGTCGAGCAAAAGCCTGGGACCACACTCATACCCCAGGTCCCCCTGCTATAGAGCCCAGTTCGCCGCCCAAAACACTCTGTCTCATTACCCGACCGGATCGCATTCCTTCCCTGTCCAGCCCCACCCCGACTCCCAACCCCATCTCCGACAACCCGGCAACCGACCGGGCTTGCCACCACTCTTTGCCGTGCCGATACCCGTCGCTTCTCCGTCACCATGAGCAACTTCCTCGGCGGTAGCGCCGTCGAGTGCGGCCCGAGCAACGCTCTCAAAGACGTCGGAGCTCTTGTCGAGAGGGATTACGGCGCTCAGCGTGTGAGTACAGTCACGCTTACGCAGCTGCCGGATCTGGACCTGGCACCGCTTGCGTCAAGCTGCCGTTCCTGCCTGTCGAACATCTGAGCTGCTTGCAGCAGTTTCTGACCTCTGACACCGTTGCGACATCTGCTGACATGACAGGACCGCTATGCACCGACCGCTGGACCCAGCGCGGGCCCCAGTGCCTTCCGATCTCGACCACAGCAGCAGCAAGCTGGTCCGGCACCGAACCAAGCGTTCGATCTGTCGCAGCTGCGTTCGCATCTCCCTGCCCAGCCTCAGCAGCCCGTGCACTACGCCCCTCAGCACGCTAACCAGTCCCAAGCTGGTCCCGCGCTTGCTCCCCAAGGTCACGCTGGCCAGAACTGGGCTGACGGCTTCACCGCCGACAAGGGCAAGTCTCGCGAATGGGGCAACGAGTTTGAGACGTCGCGCGGATCGCCTCTGCAAGCTACGCCGAGAACGGCGTCGCCTTCCGTTGCGCCTTGGCAGCGCCAGAACGTCGTCTCCCCCGGTCCGAGCATGTACCACTCGCCCATGCCGTACCAGCCGATGTTCCAGCAGACGACCCACCAGCACATGATGCACCAGTACCAGCCTGCGCCCCAGCGCATGCGGGAACCCACGCACGCCCCACCCCCGATCCCCCAAGAAAAGCAAGCCACCCAGTCGCCCGACATCGTTAAGGCCTATGAAGCCGAACTGGTGGAGGAGCGACAAGAATTCGAGTCCCGAGCCGACATTCCCCAAGACGAACTGGCGCGAACGGCTCAGGCTCTCGTTGATCAACTGAAGGAGGAGAACCTGATGAAGTCGGACCCGAAGCTCGCCAACTCGGAATTCGTTCGACTTCTGCGCGGCCTCGGCAGCGGCGATATCAAGGTCCAGGAGGGCGATCAGAATGCCGTCGGTGATGAGGTCGTCGGCGATGGCGCCAAGTTTGTGAACTCGGCCGGCGCCGACTGGGCGGCCGACTTCATGTCCACCGAAGACTTTGGCAAGAGTGCAAGCGAAGCTGGTCTGCAGCAAACGTGGGAGCGCGGCGTCCAGGACAACATTGCGATGCGCGAAGGCATGGGTGCGACCCAACAGCGACGGAAGAGCGTCCACTTCGACGAGGACAAACCCATGGTGGCGGACACGCATGTCGCTGGCGCCGGCCAGGACTGGGAGGAGCAGCTGGACGACGACGACTTTGACACCGAGCTCCTGCGACACTTCAACGGTGGACCGCGCGTGCACGAGACGCAGCCGACTATCGCCGAGACGCAGCAGAACGAGATGTGGGAGCACGCCGAGACGGACTGGGACGAGATGATCCGCCAGCACTCGCAACCCCCAGCTCCGGAGGAGTACCTTTTCCACCGCTCGAACCCGTACGCGAATGGTGGCCCAATCGTGCGCGAGATGTCCCCGACGACGATGGGCGTGCTCGAGCTCGAGGCTGCCGTGCAGCAGAGCCCGCGCGACGGATCCGCCTGGCTCGCCCTCGGCCTGAAGCAACAGGAGAATGAGCGCGACGACGCCGCCATCCGCGCCCTCGCCCGCGCCGTCCAGCTGGAGCCCGACATGCGCAGCGCCTACCTCGCCCTTGCGGTTAGCTACACCAACGAGGCCCGTGACGAGCTAGCCATGTCCGCGCTGGAGAAGTGGATCGAGCTCGGTGGTGGCGGTGTCAACGAGACCCCCGGCCTTACGGTCCAGGAGCGCCAGGGCCGCATCATCGAGCGCCTGATCGACATTGCCCGCCAGCGTCCCGACGACCTCGACCCCGACGTTCAGGTCGCCCTTGGTGTCCTCTTCAACTCGTCCGAGGAGTACCACAAGGCGGAGGACTGCTTTACTGCCGCCCTTGAGGCGCGTCCTGACGACTGGGTGCTGTACAACCGCCTGGGCGCCACTCTGGCGAACAGCGGCCGCTCGCACGAGGCGATCAAGTTCTACCATCGCGCACTCGCCCTGCACCCCAACTTTGTCCGCGCGCAGTTCAACCTCGGCATTTCCTACATCAACCTGGCGCAGTACCGCCTGGCGGCCCAGTGCATCCTGGACGCGATCCGCCTGCAACACGCGGACATCACCGAGGGCTACGGCGAGGGATACGGCGAGGGTGTTCCCTCCGTCAAGGGCGTCACGAGCGATGCGCTCTGGAGCACGCTTCGCATGGCGTGTCTCCACCTCCAGCGCCCCGACTACGTCACCGCGGCTAACAACCATGACCTCAGTGGATTCCCGCTCGAGCTGTAGCGCGGCTTGAGCTCCGAAGGGGAGGGGGCGGCCGCCGCTGCGTCGGCCGCCGCTGCAGTGGCTGAGGCGATGCAGGAGCACGCCGCGGCCAAGCAGGCGGCGGCATCGGCGGCCGCAGCGGCGTGGGACAACGACGGCGAGCACTATACGGGCCC